CTGCTTTCAAACTGTTGGGTGAGCAGGAGCTGGAGTATATGACAGGAGCTCACCCCATTCGGTAACAGTAACTGGGTCTCAAATACCTGTTGATCATTAGCCCAGCATCCTATCATCACGAATAACCACACTCCTTTTACACAGGCTATTAAATCACTAGTAATTAAAGACTATTAAAACATAAAGAAGGAAACATCTGTAAAAAATCCATTTGAATAATTCTCAATATTTCAGACCATATTCACCAAAGCAGGTGGATATAGTAATTGTGCAGCACTCTCACAAGTGAGAGGAATCTTTTAAAAAACAATATTGAAAAGCATGTCAGTTACATTTTTGTGTGGCTTCTAATTTGTCAAAAATAATTATCTTTCAAATTCATTTTTAGTGTCCAGACTATTTGTTAGTAATTTTCAATTCATTTTTCAAACAGTAGCTTGAATTTTTGTTCGTTATTTTAAGGAAATATATATTTATATGAAACTGCAGTTGATTGAGGTTATCTTCTAAATCTCCAGTTCACAAACAATGATCACAAAGCTCTCTGGGCACTTCAACAAAATATTAAACATCTAACATGCAATTATAATTTTTGCCTATACACACAAGAAACTTATCAAATTTGCTGCAAATTCAGTAACAACGATTTATTCTACTTGTATATATTACTGGAATATTGTAGATGTTTTTTTAAAAATGAAACAATTTTAATATCAATGTAATGATTGCACAATTTTGTAATTCTTCTTGTAAGAGTATCTATGTATATTTTATAGTGTGCCTATAATGCATTAAACCTTATTCTAAATATCATCAATGTAATAGTGTAACAATATTTTAGAACAGAACCCAACCCCATCCTTCAAAAACAACAAACACCGGAAAAGATTAATTTATTTGTAAAATTATGGCTAGATTGAGACTTAGACTAACCTAATATTTTTTTTCCCAGTAGAAACAAAACAAAGCATACCTTTTATTATTTATCAGCAATATTTATTTTAAATCAAATGCAATGTTCCAACCAAGAGAGAGAGATGGAAGAAAACATCTTACCTTCTTCAGTTTCATGCCATACAATCCCTTCCAAATTTACACTGGTTCCAGGTTCACATGGTCCAAGGCATTCAGGTTCTGTTACTATTCCAACATCACAAGTGTTCACACCCACTGAACGAGTCCGTACCAAAAGTTGCTCCACAGGGGCTGCAATGTTGGACGAAGATGGTGAAAAATAGGAAGGTAGAATCTGAGTTGTCAAATTACTGGAAATAGGAGGCGGAGGTGCAGGCACTGTAAAGAGCGGGTCAACCTAGAAGTAAACACAAAGGAAAAAATGTTATTTTTAAAATAAAAGGAATGTTGTTAGAAATGTATCAATAAATAAACATATTAATTCTGTATAATAATTCAGTAATGTGGAGGGAAAAAAATCTTACTTTAAGAAGAAATTCATTTTTTAATTTCGTGGCATAAAAACAGCAGAATCTAACAGTTATATTAAATCAGTCCAAGGTTCAACTAGTTCAACATTTTGTCATGATAGTGCCCAACCAGATGCCAATGGCAAGTAATTACTATTTTATTTTTATTACATCATTCTCCATCTGTCAGTTACAAAAGGCCACACTGTTTAGATCTCTATATGCACTATGCCAATAGATTACAACATTCTAGATTCTCAAGAAGAATTGAATGTATATGAAGACCAATACCAGAGACTAAAACATATGAAGAACAGTTGTAGGAACTGGGTATGTCTAGTTTAATGAAAAGAAGGACTAGGGGAGACATGATAACAGTGTTCCAATATCTCAGGGGTTGCCACAAAGAAGAGGGAGTCAAATAATCAAAAAGAAAGGACAATATTTACAAGACTCAAGACTCCAGCCTAC